AGTAACCTTGAGTCACAGGGCATAAGTGAATTTCAAGGAGGGTCAGGCCTCTGCTATATCATATTCTTTTTTTTTACTTATAGATCGTGATGTTTACAATAATCCTAAGGGGAGTACCTTGCTTATGGATTTTGGGCAGACCATACGCATTTGGGGGTCTAGCATCTCGCTGGAGAGGGGCATTTATTTTCCACTTTTCCATTTCTTCTCTGTTAACATATTGTTGCAGAAGACCCCTAAGTCTGACCTTAAGGCCTTCTGTCGGGTGCCTAATTATACTCTTGTATGTTGTATCATCATTTAATGCCTCTAAATAATCAGTCTTATCCATAACTACTACTGCTCCTTCTTTGTCTGCCCTTAATACTAGTTGCTCGTTCTCCTTAAGCTTCCTTATAATAGTCTTAACTGTCCTATTCTTATATGGTATTTCTACATGACCATCAATTAAAACGACAGCTTGTAGTTCATTGTCACTCTTAGTAATCTCTGAGAAACTATCCGTTAAACTTATCAATTCTACCAAAATTCCCTCGGAAGTCCTTACCAGTTGAAAAGGCAAAGTTTAAACCATTTGCTAGGACTTCCTCAGTAGAAATGTCTAATGAAGTTTTGGACAAATTTATCACTTTTTGGCAATGGCTATTCTTACACTTCAATTCATTAGATGGAGTCGTTTCCTTGAGCTAATTCTTATACCCAAATTTCTTAATTTCTTATCATATGTCTTCCTAACCTGTCGGAAAATCTTATCATATAAACTATCCGCTATACTCTAAAGTTTAGGAAGTCTTACTAACTAAGAGCATCTGCCAAAATTTCCCTAAGTGTAGTCCTATTCCTGATTAAGGAATGTAACTTTGCAATGTTTTCTTAAGTATAATAACAATCAAATCATGGAAGACGTCCAAAAGATATGTCTTAGTCTTACAAGGTAAATTAGGTCTAGAAATAATACAAAATCTAGGTATAATTCTACGGCTAGAGTAAACTTTCAAAAAGCGAACGTGATTGACCTGCCTGTATATAATGACAATTATCGAAAAGAATGAAGACCCTACGTACTACGAAGATGTGAGGAAAAACTGGGTTTCGAAGAATCCCTTAATGAAATATTGTGGTATGACTTTCCATTTCGAAGGGAAAGTTGGTTGAAAGGAATTTCTGATGTGATTTCACCGGAAACCGAAGGAGGATTGTCGCGTAAGGAAGGGTATTGAATTGTGCTAAGAAATCCTCGGCTCACCGTCCTGCGACCCCAATAAAATTGCGCTAAGCTTTCGTCTGTATTGTGACAGACATCATCAGAGCAAGATCCCATACTTTACGAAATAGAGCAAAAGTATACTAAACCAATAAAAGGTTGTCGGCTGCAACCCTAGTCGCTTTTTATACACCTAACATCGCGAGCTTAATGAGGCCTTGCATGATTTGGTTTGCTACTTCAGGCAGACTCTACATGCCTATTTTTCTTCCAGTTTAGCCAATGTATTTCTGTTCGCAGACGCCGCATGCTATGCAGTAAATTCCTGAGCAATCCAATTTAACTACCCTCTTATGCAGCGTGGATAGACTTTTGAAGTGTTGTTTTTTCCTTCGTGGTCACCTGAATATTCCATTTTCTTAAAAGTGTACGTAGTTTTTGAGCAAGTTTACAAGAAGTGAGATATCCATTTTTATGAGTGTCTCCATTTTTATCTTTCCTTCATATTCTCCGTCCTGCCATCGGCTCTTCACCGCCAGTATGGTTCTTTGAACTACTCTCAAACATCCATTACTAATTATCCACCTGAGATGTAGCAGGCGAGCAGAGATAGATGTCCACAATATCCTCATGGTTCACAGGCTTAATAGAAGAGATGATGGCTGAAGGTAACTCCTAATATCCACAGCCATGGGAATCAGAGCCTAGGCGCTCTGAAGATAAGACGACTTTTTACGTGCTACTCAAGGCTTGATAAATAGCACTTGGAATAAAAGTACGCTTGTGCTGGAACCGAGTGAAATTGGCTAACCAAAAATATAGGAAACGGACCTACGGGTTGGTGAGACAGATCCAGACAGGAGACTAGAGCAGGCTCAGCCACTTTAAAGTGAGAGGAACAAGGCAAACAGCAGGTGTGATGACGCCACGGTAAATTCGCCAAAAGGGTACATTTCATGAGGAATATAAACCTGTCAAAAGTTGTGATAGGACGAGGACGAGACTAGAGGGACCAGGACAAATTTAGCAGTGACAGCATAACCGTCATGACAGAAATGTGGTCAAGGAATTGACTTTATTTGTCTCTAACGCATTGTAGCTTGATTTGCTGGGCATGGCAAGACTCATTGATGATGCCGACTACGATGCCGGCGAAACGTCTGGGAATGTACCAAGTCCACGGTCCGAGTCTGGAAATAATCATGCATACTATGGATTCGTTTTTCCCCGCCACCATCTTCACAAAACTTATTTTCATTACTAGTGCATCATTCATTTTTTTAAGATATGCTTTTATTGCAATCAAACATCAGGATTAACTCCTTCTTTACTGACTATATTCTAAATCGATCCAATAAAATAATTGGTATAAGATTAAGTAATGGCAGGGAATGAACTAATCCATTATCTACGTATCTTAAAAATAAAGCTTTCATAAGTTAAAAACCGTTTCAGGCTTTTTTAATTAGTTTCAGTTTGGTACTGGAGTTTTATAAGCAAGTACTATCAAATATTTAAAGAGGCTGGGCATCGTTAATTTTATAAATGGTATGTATGCTTGTATTTATTTAATAGAAAGGAGTTTTTATGGATAATAAAAGAAAGGAGTGCACATGTGTGCTTCAATGAATATCTCTATTCTAGGGAGTGTCGCGATTAATTTGAGAAATTAAACCTCTTAATTGTCAAGATGGATTCCTTGGTGGCTTAGAAAGTAATAATTTTCTGATACAAAATTGCATAACTTAAAAATAATTAAGTGACTTGAAATTGGAAATCCTCCTTATTTTCATGACAATGCTGGTTTAGTCAACTCTCAATTCTCCCAAGCTCTATCACTAACAAAATCTTTGCAAGATTTGAGATTGCCTAATATTGTATAAATCTTCTTATGACTGAAATTTTCAAGGATATTACCGATATTGCATCAAGAACTTGTATGGTAAGAGCGGGGGTATCCAACCGCGAGGCTTACTCTTGTTGAATGGAAAAATATCTTCACCATGGTCCTGAGTAAATTACTGTGTAATGGTATTTTATTTGTGGTGAGGGCTGAATGTCTTAGGGTTGGCTTTACCGTGCTTTCACTACATATTTGTGTTTACAATGAGACTCTGAGAAACTTTTTCTCTGTATTTATTCCTCTGTCAATGACTTCATATATTCTGCAATAACCAAAACGTTGATTAGGCAGGTTCCTAAACATCTCACTAGCATCCTAGTTGGCATCGGTAAAATGTAGCATCATCCATTGCATCAAAGTACAGCTTGTTAAAGTGACAAAGGAGGTCATTTTCATTTTCCACTTCTGTATAACCATTATAGTACTTTGCCACAGCATGTAATTTTTCGTACCTCTTAGTCTTACATCCTCCCCTTAATCTCTCATAAAGTCAATCACTTTATGTCACTTTGACGGCCTGCAGCTTGGCACTGAGACTGGTCCTGCCCATTGGCGACCAGGATGAAAATCATTGCTTTCAGTGTTTCAGTGACTCGATTATTTAATCTCACGTATTCATTTTAGCATTGCCCTGCCGGAGGCTACTCCTTGTCTGCATGCGATTGCTATCGCAATCCATTTTCCTGGGAAGGCTTTTACCACTTCTACTACTTCTGTGCCAGCAGACCAAGCTTGTAGCACTATACAGGCTTCCTCAGGCTCCAGCTTCAATTCTAATGATTGTGATATGTCTATCATGTGGTTGGCTGTCTCAGGCTCCGGCAAAAGTTTAAACAGGGGTCATTTTTCTTCCACCTCATCAGGCTTAGTTGAGCCTTCTTCCTATCCATCGGGCGCCGAGGAAGTTACCCATTCTGGCTTTGATTCAAGCCTAGCGACAGCGGCAGTAGAGTTTTCTGGTGGAAACCCGCCGATCGAAATTCAGACGGATCCAGGTTATTGTTTAAGTGGAGGCATGGCTCGTCTTGTCTCCTTCTGCCTACGCAGCCGCTGCTTGCTCTTACAAATTGATCTCACTCCACACATTTCTTCACTTGTAGGTATGTTTTCCATGATATACTTTTCTTTAATCCTGGGTATTTTGGCTGATAGCAAACCCAGTGTATTTGATTTATTTTAAGTTGTCAGAGTTTTACCCTGTTTCTAAATGCTTCAATCTCAATACTTTGAATATCTATTTTCAATTTCGTGTTTCCAAAATTGTTTACTTGAGCTTCTTGAGGCTACTAATTTTATGGGAATTAAGTAGTTTTTTTAATCTGTGAAGTGTTAGAGACGCCTTTTCTCCTTGGCATCATAATGCTAAATATTTATGTTTATCTCTTGCTTTCCTACATTTTCTTTATTTAGACCTTATTAGGCTCCTATTCTAGCAAAGTGACTGAAATTTAGCTTCGTATATTTATTGGCTAGTGCAATAATTTCAAGATCATGTTATCTTCTTGTTTTCAAGACTTAAATTTTTCTATGCCACTGATATCGTATTCTTCTCATCCTGGCAAGCAGGGAAGAAAAAAATAATTATAGAGACACAGGCGCGACCATTTCTATACAGCGAAAGGAGGCTGCAACCAAATTAGAGGCCACGCCTTTTCCTTCATATCTACTGTTTGGCTCTTACGTTTGTCATATCAAACCCAAGGGACCAATTCTACTAGCCCATTAATTTTTCGAAAAGATTGCCTAGATAGCAGAGCGCATGCAAACGTTCTTTTGTGCTGGTGCATTTATAGCCTTAATTGGGGACAGTACCTGAAGCAACTCTTAACTTTTATGAGGCCATTATTAAGCTCTATGCAACAAATATGCTAGCTGAGTAAGGCAAAGTTTGTTTCTATGTTGCTTACTAGATCACTTTTTCTGGAATATTGTTTAGATTTTCCAAACCTTATTTTATAATTATAAATCAAGTTCTTTTAGAAGGCAGTTGCATTAATTTCCTAAGCAATATTTCATGGGGCATAAACCGCTACAGTGCTTTAGCGATCCTTAGAGAAAAATTTCTCCGATGTTTTCGTTGAGCTAGTCATC